GCCAGCCAGTGCTCTCTGAATCCACGTGCCAAGGGCCTCCGAGTGTCGAACAAGCACCACGTGACGCAGCCCCTCTGGGCCAGCGTCGGCTTGGCGACGGTCCTGCTGCCCGTGAACTTTTTGGTAGGTTTCCATCTGAATTTGGCAGCGACCTCGTCCCACAAGTGGCAGTAAGAGACGTGAACTCCCCGATGGCCCTTCTCATCGCGCACTCCTTTCAAAGCTGCCTTCGGTTTCTCCAACATGGCCTGCAAACTCTGCTCCTGCCTCCTATGAATAATCCTCGTGGCTGCGAGTATGAGCCGTCTGTGCTTGACCCCTTTGGTGAGATTTGACTGCGCAGGCAGATGAGCAGCGCGGCAAGCTATTGTCATGCCACTTGGGAGGACGTGTGTCTTTATCCTGCCGAGCAGCTTCGTCTTGGGATCTCCAAGCATCTTGGCTGCATCGGGAATCATCGTTCGAATGGCCTGCAACGTATGACGGCTTTCAGCTCGTTCGTCGTCTCGTTGCTTTCTCATTTTATTGAAACGGTTCTTGGACAAGAAGCTCCGTGCGTGCTCGATGTGGCTCTTCGACCTCCACTGAAAACGAACATTCCTCGGGTTCAACACTGGTGGTAATGCCGCCAATCCATAATCTATGCCCTCATGACCTGGCGCTGCACCCATGGCAGGCGGCGCCTCAGGCGCTGGCGCAGCACCTGGAGCAGCGCCATCTGGTGCCCCACCTGGTGCAGCACCTGGAGCTGGCACGACATCTCCCTCGGGCGGAGCTGGAGGAGCTGCGGCGTCATCAACAACGATATCTATATCTGGGATGTCCAGCAGGCCGAATTGCAACACATCGTCCAGCTCCATCCGCACCACGTGCGGCTGGTAAGCCAAAATGGCCACGGAAGAATTGCGTTTGCTTGAAGTTTGATGTTTCTGTTATTTGTCCCAGTTGTTGACGGGCTTGAATACACAATGCCCATGTGTCGCTCGAGCGTCACATGCTACCACTTGCCCCCAAAAAATGGCCGCAGCTGTTACCACACATAGGATACATCATCATTTCCATCGCCGTTAGGACCCCCGCATTCTCTCGATCGGCCCCCCCTCGTTTCGCCCCTCCTCCACCCTCATCCGCGTTTCTCTCCTGGACTTCCTGCCTCTCTCCGAGCCTACCCGTCTCCCGTTTTATCCGCCCACCGCGCCGTGCGTGCGACTCTTCTGAAAGGTTCGGCGACGAGGAGCACGATGTTATGGACGACGACGACGACGTCATGTATGGCAACGATGTCATGGAAGCCAGCCATAATAACTACAGAAATAGTGGTACGTAATTGGAATCCCTGTGGCCTCTTTTCAAAACACTGCTCTCGCCTGCCCCCGTCGGGGCCCGCCTCCACGAGACGTGTCTGGGCGTGCGATTCGGCGAAGCCGTTTGATTTCTGAGGCGCACTGGTGAATTGAGATCATGGGAAGCTTATGTGTTGGTGCGGATATGGTATGCTTGTGCTGTTGTTGTTGGTGTTGCTATTGGTCGTGCTGCTAATTGGATTGCTCGTTGTGTTGTTGATGTGCCGCTTTTGATCAATTTCAAAGCTCTGCTATCACATTGGTTTGACACTCGAATAACATAGTCTATATTGTCACGGTGTCCTATTGTGTGCATGATCGCCGAGATGTGATCCAAATCCTCGCTTCATTTTCGAGTTGATCTAAATATTCTCGCTCCAGTTGCAAGTTTATCCTCCATCCTGCGTCGCCACCCGTCCGACCCCAGGGACCCCCTCTGAACGCCCTATGCAATGAACCCCGATCTCTGAGGGATAGACGAAATGAAGTTCAGCTGATCCTGCATCACGGCCGCGTCGAGGACGCGGCCCAGGACCTCGTGCTCGTACGCACTCCTGTCGCCCGACAGCACTCTGGAAAACCTGACCCAAATCCCGTGCGCGTGGAAGGCGCTGTTGCCGTTGTCCCGCACATACTTCATGTACCACAGCACAGTGCGCGGCCCCTGCAGATCCCAGCCGCCCTGAGTCGAATCCTCCGACGAGCTGGCCACTGCGTCATCCCAAATACGACGGCTTTCACCCTGAGCGTCCATCCTCACGGCCATCGTGCGTACGTCTCCGCGGGCCAGCACCAGCGCTGCGGAAGCTGCGCCACGCTCAAAGAGAAGCCACCTGCCTGCACGACGGCTCTATCGTTCATCACGGCCGAGCCTGCGGGCAGCTGGTGGCGCGCCAAATCGCCCACCGCGAATCCTGCGCGGTCCTCCAGAGAATGCCAGCTCAAGCCAGCAGGGGGAACCAGCTGACCTCTTGCAGCGGCCACCGCCGCGCCCGCACCTCCGCCCAGCCCCGGGGGGGATGCCCGGCGCGGGGGCTGCCGCAGCGCCGATCGTCGCCGCCGCGGGCGCCCCGCCGGGCGCGATCAAGCCTCCCACAGCGGCAGCAGGGCCAGCAGCGGCGGGGGCTGCCAGTGCGCCGGCGCCAGCGGCAGGCAGCAGCGCGCATGCGCCAGGGGCCCCGCCTCCACCCGCGCCAGCGGCCACCGCAGCGGCTCCCCAGCCGGGCGCCTGGTCGAAGTGGAAGACCAGCGGCAACGGCGGACAGGCGACCCCGAGCGTGGGGGCTCCCAGCATCGCGCAGGCGTCCACCAACGGATGCGGCGGCGCCGCTCGGAAACCGAAAATGTCCGCCGCCGCGACGCCGTGCGGCACCTGGGCCGCAAGCGAGAGCAGGATGACATCGCTGAAGTTGGCGCCGACCGCGAACGTCTCCTCGTAATGGTCGTGGTCTGGCGTTTGCGCGCGCACGTCATGCGAGCCCGGCCTGACCGCCAGCAGCAGTCGCGCGTGGAACACCGCAGGCCCAGGGACGCCGCGATGCCTCACCAAGAGGGAGTCCCCGGGGCCGAACGCGGCCATCGCGCCTGACGCGGGGGCCGAGCGACTCCTCACGAAACTCAGCTGCGCGCGCGCCTGCCCTTCGAAGGTGAACTGGGGTGCCTCACGCTCTCGTGCCTGGGCCCGACACCTCGGCGGCAGCGTCTCGCGAGTGGGAAGCCCCCAGGCCGCGCCTGCCAGGTACGCCGCCACCAGCGAGAGTGCAAGGACGGCCGCAGCTCCAGCGATCGCCAGCGGCGAGGGCGCGCCGCGCACGCAGGTCGACGCGGGCGGCGGAGGGCACACGAGGGCGGGCGCGCACTCGGGGCAGGGCGCGGTGCCTCCCCAGAGCGCCAGGCCCGTGCTGACCCCGCGCGCGAGTTCGAGAACGGACTCGCGAGCTACTTGCAGTCAGACAAAAACTTGAGCCACCGTTGCCATGGAATGGAACGAGCTTCCAAGACGGCGTGGTTCTCAACCCACAGACAACATTCCCGAGCAAGCACATTCATAAACTTTCGGCGCTCCGCACGGATTTTTTAGATCAACGCCAGACCCCCTTCCCTCGCGCGCGGAGCGCGCCAGGGGCGGCGCCGGAGGCGCCGCCATGAGGGCCCAGCGCGGATCCAAGAACTCCGCGCGGAGCACCGAAAATTCATGTCTGTGCCGTTTCTCCTTCTTCTAATGCTGCTACCCTCTCCCTCGTTTTCCACATTTTGGGGCCTACCGTGAGGCCCTCGACGCCACCGCTGGTGCTCGCCTCGAAATCCTAGTCAGGGCGCACCTGGGGAGAGGCCCGCTGAGCAGCAGTATCGGTATCGGTTTATGTTTATGTAGTTGTTTTCTTTCTCGGTATCGGTATCGGCCGTATATGTAGTTGTTTATGTTTATGTTTATCGGTATCGGTTTATCGGCAGTCTTCGGGATATGGGTACCTTTTCCTCCTCTGACTCCCAGGTGAGCGGAGGTGCCGCCAGGTACGGCGCCAGAGGTGCCGTTCCGGGGGTGGGGCAGCGCCGACCCAAGAAGTTCCAGCGGCCTTCGGAAGCGTAAGCCAGTGGTGGCTGTTTCAGGGGGCCCAGCGATACACACACACACACACAACAAAAAAAAAAAACACAACTCCCATGACCCCCCGAGATTTTCCAGGATTTCCTGGAGTTTCGTCTTCCCCCCACTTCCCATATTTTCTGGGAATCGGCGAATATTTGCGTCTGTGTTTGTTTTCCCCTCCTGATTGTTGCTCGTCGACCCCATGCTCCCTCCCGTTCCCCCTCCTCTCGGCACGCGTGAGTCGGGTCGGACGAAAGTGGGGGATAGGGTTAGGTCGGGCCTGTCTACAGGCGAATTTTGGACGAAAAATTTAAAACATGTCAAACAATGCCACAAACTATTCAAAACATAGTCCCCATACGATTTTTAGACTATTTTTGAATATTCCTCGTGTAGAGGGATAGGCCCGACTTAAGGATGGGGAAAGGGGGGGTGCGACATCTGCCACATGCAGCTGGTTTCGGTCCCACCGCCAGGCGCTTTCATTGATACATTGGCGCCTCCGGCGCCAGGAGGCGCCAGGGAAATCAGCCACGTGAGCTGATTCGCCAACCCCGCTTTGCTACCCCTCCCTATCACGCGGCCCGAGAAGTGGGAAGGAACAACATGGGGACGATGCCCAACAACACGTGTTGCCCGCTGTTATGCAGGCCACGTGAGCGCCTGCGGCGACGCCGACAACGAAAGACACGTGAGCAGGCTCAGCCGCGTCGTCCCGTCCTCGCCCGATCCTGGCCGCACGGACGCGACCGCCCTCGGAGTCACGAGGACCTGTCACAGCCGCGGCCGTAGCCGCCGCCGCGGCCGTCGTGGTCGCCGCTGTTCGTCGTCGTCGTCGTCGTCGTCGTCGTCGTCGACGTTCGCCGCTGATCGTCGTCGAAGTCGTCGTCATCGTCATCTTCGTCGTCTTCGCTGGCGTTCGCCGCTGATCGTCGTCGACACTCGCCGCTGATCGTCGTCGTCGTTGCCGTCGCCACCGCCACCGCCGCCGCCGCTGCTCAAGGTCGTCGTCTTCGCTGTTCGTCGCTGGTCGCCCTGCGGCCGCGTAGCTCGGACCGGGCCAGCGCCTCGCGCATCTCGGCCGCGGCGTTGTGCGCGGCGGTGCTGGCCTCGGCGGCGGAATCACCGGGCTCATGCGGGGCCTGCGGGCGGTCGCGGCGGAGAAGGGAAGAGGCTGGGAGAGTAGAGGTCTCCAAAATGAGCGACATGCAGAAACAGGTCTTACGCGAGATGGCATATCGACCTGACGCGGTGGCTTACGCGGGCCGCCAGAGGGGCACGCTACACTGGAAACGAGGTCGCTTCCGCGCGACCTTACGCAGGCAGCTTACGCGCCAATGTCGGCGCAGCTCGAATCTATCCTTTTCGTCGCCCAGATGGGGTCCGAGCAGATGGGGCCAGAGGATCGCGCCACATCCCCGAGGCAGCGCCAATGCGTCGGCGACGTCGGCGGTGCATCGGCGACGTCGGCGCGGTGGAAACGGGGCTCCATATCGAGCCGCATCGCCGAGGCACCGGCGATGCAGCGGAATCCTCTGGCCCCATCAACTCGGAGCCCATCCGAGAAGCCTAGCACGCTTTCCGCCGCCTTCGGCCTCCGGGGACCCCCGCGGGGCCCCAGGATTGTCAAGAAAAACGACCGGGGGGGGGGTCGCAACAAAAAAGCTATGGGAAATGGTGGGGATATCCTCTCGCGTGTCCTGTCCAATGAAATCCGACTGTACTTGTGAACGTGCGTTCGACATCTGGGAATAATGACTTGGCCACGTGCCTCCTCTCAATGGATCGCCTTCCGAAAAGCTCGCTCCTGGCTCGATGCTCCTCTGAACGCGTGTCAGCCCCGGGGACCCCGGATCGAGCAAGGTCAGAGCATCGGCTGTCGGGGACGGCGGCGTGCTCACGGGGTCGGCGCCGGGGGGGAGGGGCCTCTGAGGAGGCCGGGGGCTTCCGAGAGTGCAGAGGGTTTTCTTGTACAGTGGGGCCCGGCCACAAGAGGCCTCCCGTGCGAAACCCAACCCTGAGACCCCAGGGGCAGTCCCTCGATTTCTGGCGCGGGAGCGCCACGCTCTCCATAGCGAGACCATCGAAACCCGGGAAACCCAGGACACCCTGGAGGCAAGCAGGGTGCTTCTTGGCATGGGGGCTCCACTGCAGAGGGCAGAAGAGCCGCCCTCATCGCAGCACGCCCCGCCGAGCGCAGCCCTCGGTGAACGCACCCAGGGGAGGGCTCTCGCGCAGGGCAGGGCTGCTTCGCGGAGGCCGAACGCTCTTGCGATAAACGCCCCTCGTGGGGGTCGGGGTGTCTTTCTCACCCCTCGATCTTGGAAGCCTCCCTGACTCCTGGGGCAGGAAGGAAACAGAAAACAGGAAGGACACGTGTTTCTCTCCGCTCCTGCCAACTCCTATGCCTACCCGTCCTTGGAGGCAGCCCAGGCGAGCCCCGGCGTGGAAAGACAGGGGAAGTCGCCAATTGCCGACGGCTCCGCGCTGAGATCAGAGCCTCGCTCACAGTTCGAGGCAGAGGTACTGGTGGATCTCCGCCGCGATCCTTGGCCTACTTGGAGCGCTGGCGCATCTTGCGGCGCTTTTTCTGAAGGCGGCGGGTGCGCTTCTTCTTCCACTTCCACCGGAACATCGACCGAGCCTTCTTGTACGGGTTGGACTTGTGAGCCATGTGGCTGCGGAGGGCGGGCGCTGCCGGACGGCAAAGGAGAACCTGAGCAAAATTGGCTACGGGAACTTCGTCACCCCTCGTCGAATGTTTTGATCATGTTCACCATGCTAATCACCATCGCCATCGTCATCACCGTCGCGATCTCGTCATAATCGTGCGCATCCGTTCCCACGGGACCAACACCGCCGTCGTCTTCGTTGCCATCGCCATCGTCACATTCACCGTCGCGTGCACGCTTCCAGAGCTCGCCTACCTGGCGTCCATCAATCCGCACTGCTGTAACTCGCCTCTGGGCACTGCCGGCCGTACTTTGCCGATGCACTGCAGCGACCCCCCCGTTCCAGGCTGCTGCCTGTTGCCGCGAAGGCTAACAGGGCGACTCGACGAACCACAAAAGTTACACGGCCGCTCACGGACGCGTGCCCGTGCCACCGAACAGCGCCCGAGCCGACAAAGCGCAGCCGACCGACCGAGACCGAAACCGACAGGCCGCAGGCAGCCCAGGAGAGCGCAGCGACGCAGCAACGTGAGGAACAGCCGACCGAACCGACCGAACGTAGGCGACTGCGATGCAAGCGAGCTGCCCGAGTCGTGGACACCCTTCGTACGGTCTTCGTGTAGGGGCACATATGTCGGGGTTGGACAGACCCCCCTTTGGTAAAGCGTGGTTTAGTGAAAACGGCCTGAGGCCCAAACCTGGCGGGCGCAAGCCTGGAAAATAACGGCAACGGCGCCCTCTCGAGAACCGAAAACGGACAATTCACTAATCGACGTGTCACTGTTGGGGGCTCTGTCCACCTCCGAATCTGTTTATAGCCGAGGTCCCAGGGCAACAAACTCAGTGCCCGTCCAGCTTCTGCCGCTCCCCTGCCCATCAAGGGTTCCCCTTCCAATTTCCCTTCCCTCTCCCACGTCCTCTTCTCACCTCCCCTTCCCGTTGCTCCTTCTCCTCCTCCTCCTCCCCCTCGTCCTCCTCCTGTTACAGCTGCTGGGACTGGCGGGGGACTGGATCCTCGCTTCTTGTGCTCCTCCTTGTTCCTCTGTGCTCCTCCTTGCTCATGCCTGTGCGTTCCTCCTCCCCCATGTTTGTCCTACTTCTCGCTCCTTCCGCGCCCCTTGCTCCTCGTCCTTGTGCTTCGTCCTCGATCCTTGCCGTCATCCTTTTCTTCGTTCCTCCGCCTTGCTCCTCCTATTAAATCCTCCGCCGTGCTCCTCGTTCCTCCTTCTCCCCCCCTGCTCAATGGGCACTCTACAACCTCCAAGAGTCGCTCTGAGCTTCATAAGCACCTCCCCGCGCGCTCGCAGAGACCCCCTCTGGAATCCCTCAGCATCGTTTAGCAACCTCAGACGAATAACGACATCCCTGTCCGGCCCCTGTCGCGCTTAGATTCAAGAGGAGCGCCCGACTTGAAGTCAAGGCTTACATACTATATAGGGAGCTCCGAGGCCCTTCCGAAACCAAAGTGGTCCTTCTTCCGATTAGGGGGCCACATGCGAACCCTACCCCTACCCCTCAGAAATCGTGGGGGGTAGGGGTAGGGTTCGCATCTGGCCCCCTACCGATCCAGTGCTCGAGTTACACCCTCGCAACGCCCGAACTTCCGAGCCTCCTGCCCGGATCTCCGCCGCCGTCATGCGTTCGAGGCGTGGACCCCTGGAGCTCTCGACCTCACCCCCAGCAGAGTGTTTCGCCCCTGGGCTGCCTCTTCTTGATGGCCTGGGGCCCATCCCCAGAAAAACACAAGCCAGCGTTGGAGAGAGAGAGAGAGAGAGAGAACAAAAAAAAAACGCATTGCTGAAGGTGCCCTGAAAGACACACATAAGTACACACAAATAAAAGGATCCCCCACATCTTCCCACATGTTTTGCCTTTTTGTCCTCCCCCCCACTTCCCATACTTTCCTATATTTCCTGGGGATCCGACGATGAATTGTGCCTCTGTGCTTCTGCCCCTCCTGAACTGCGTCGGAGGCCCGGGTGCCGCTCCCCCCTCCCCTCCCCTGGGGGCGGGGAGGATGGCGCCCTGGAGAACCCACGCCTCGACAAACCTGAAGGGGCCCTGGGACATACAAATAAATACACACAAATCAAAATGCGCCCCATACTTTCCCATATTACCTAACAGCGAAGACTGACAGGTTTCGAGTGGGGCCAAAAGAGAGCAGCAGATGACTCCCCAGGGGGGTCTGGGCGGGAGCCGGGGAGCTGGGTCCGAACTCGTTTTCCGCAAACAGTCACGCACTTCGTGCTCTTCGACCTCCCAGAACTCCATTCCTAGGCCAAATTCTGAATGCCCGGAGCCAACTGTAGGCCACTTCGTGCTCTTCGACTTCCCAAAACTCCATTCCCGGCGTACATTTTGGATGCCCGGAGCCAACTGTAGGCCACTTCGTGCTCTTCGACTTCCCACAACTCCATTCCCGGGCCACATTTTGAATGCCCGGAGCCAACTGTAGGCCACTTCGTGCTCTTCGACTTCCCAGAACTCCATTCCCGGGCCACATTCTGACTGCCCGGAGCCAACTGTAGGCCACTTCGTGCTCTTAGCCTTCCCAAAACTCTATTCCCGGGCCACATTTTGAATGCTCGGAGCCAACTGTAGGCCACTTCGTGCTCTTCGACCTCCCAGAACTCCATTCCCGGGCCACATTTTGAATCCCGGAAGCCACCTGTACGCCACTTCGTGCTCTTCGACTTCCCTGAACGTCAGATGGGCTGATTGATCGAAGTGTCTCGTTTGTACTACTCTTGCTAATAGTGTTTCTAATGCTAGTTCTCGTTCACTGCACCCACTACAACTACTACTTCACTGTTACCACCACTACCGTCACTGCTACTTTTACTGCTACTACTACTGTTGCTGTTGCTGCTGCTGCTGCTGCTGCTGCTGCTCCTGTAGGTATTGCTACTGCAACTACTGGCAATGCCATTGCGACTGCGACTGGGACTGATGTTGCCACTGCGACTGCCACTGCGAATCCGAATGCGACTGCGAGAACAAAACAAATTCTACACCAGCACTCCTACATGAATACCATAGGCAATGCTTCCAGCTATGCTTTTACACATCGCTGTTAGGTTGCTTTGCCGGGATCATTTTCTGGGTTTCTGTCTTCCCCCCCACTTCCCATATTTTCCCATATTTACCTGGGATCGACGATTAATTGTGTCTGTGTGTGTCTTTCCCTCCTGAAAACCTTGAGACACCTCGCGAGGAAGCGTGGCCGGAGCCCCGGGCCCCAGCTGCCTGCCACATTGCTTCGAGCCCGATCCATCTGTGAGGGTCCCGGGGCCCGCAGCTGTGCGAACACTTTTTTTGATCCGCGGGTCGAGAGCGCACCTCTTCCGGTCGAAGCTAGGCGGGCCGCGCGAAGCTTGAATTAGGCAGAGAAGAGGAGGAAGCTGTGCGAGCACGTCCTGCTCGAAGGACACGAGTCGCCAAGATCTCAGGGTCGGACGTTCTCCCAG